TTCTAGTTTTTTAAACATGATAATTTTGGGACATATAATGAATATAAATATCGGTTTAGTAACCACTATTAACACTTTTTTTTTCAATATTTTTACTGCACGTATACTAATTTCTCCAGTAAATGCCATATATAATCGCATTATGGAATCATCTTCATTCAATGGTATTTTCGAATGAATGAAATTCAAGAAAAGAGCTTATTCCTTCTTTATAGGCCGGCAACTTGTGTTGCGGCTGATCAGGTGAGACGCAAAATTGTATGCTATTAAAAAAAATTGAAATACACTCAACTATGAGTTTATCAGTTATGCAAACAGATAAAAAACAAATGCAATGTAGGCAGGTACTAAGTGCAGTAATTATTGGCCTAGTTCATAATTATATGGCTTAAAGCTACTATAGACAGGTATTAATGTGTTTTTCTGTATCTATAGTAGATACTTAAAGTTTTTGTTTCCTGTTCAAAATTATAGGATGACCTACTTCACTCTTAAATATATATTGTAAGTTAGCTAAAGTACTTACTGATTGGTAAATTTATTTTGCAACAAGATTTAAAAATAAGCTGACCTTTTTTACATACCCTGTACCTATTTCACAATAGTTTTTTGAGGAAATATCATCCAAAACTCGCAAATTACCTATAGTATTTAGTGTGGTTAAAATGAAACAGCAAAGTGTGTTCATCATCATTAAAATGCAACTATTGGCTTCATTAATATGCCGTTTTGATCATTAGCAAGTACTTGTCCTTGAACAATTACGCTCGTAATTAGGATGACGACAAAAGATAATTGTATAATTAATTAAATTATTTAATAATTATATGAGTAAACCAACTGAATAATTCAGTTGTATTTTTATTTATTTTCAGACACTGAATTAGTACTACATTTAGTGTTACTGGTATTTCTGTTGGTACAGTGTCGCGTGTACTAGGAAGGCGTGTACTAGGAGCTTTTAAGTAAATACTGTCATGTCATCATCAGCCCACTGCAGTCCACTGCTGGACATAAGCCTCTCCCAAGGCACGTCACTGGGCACGATCTTCAGCCCTTCTCATCCAGTTACTACCCGCAACCCTACGTAAGTCGTCGCTCCACCTAGCTGCGGGGCGTCCTACACTACGTTTGCCAATTCGCGGTCTCCACTCTAGAACACGCCTACTCCAGCGAGCATCGGTTCTGCGACAGATATGACCAGCCCACTGCCACTTCAACTTACAGATGCGAAGAGCTATGTCGGTGACCTTAGTTCTCTGGCGAATCACTTCGTTTCGGATTTTATCCCTCAGAGAAACTCCAAGTATAGCTCTTTCCATAGCTCGTTTAGCGACTTTGAGTTGGTGGACCAGTCGTATCGTCAGTGTCCACGTTTCGGCACCGTAAGTCATAACGGGTAGGACGCACTGGTTATAAACCTTGGTCTTAAGGCTTTGTGGTAGCGACGACGAGAAGACTTGACGAAGTTTCCCAAATGCCGCCCAGCCTAGCTGTATTCGTCTCTTGGCCTCCCTCTCAAAGTTGTTTTTACCTAGTTGGAGCGTTTGCCCTAGATAAATATACTCCTGAACAACTTCAAGAGATACTCCATTAATGGCGACCGGTTCCGGACGAATGCGATCATTGAACATGATCTTGGTTTTGTCCAAATTCATCCGAAGACCGATGCGTTGAGACGATTCAGCCAGGCCGTTCAGCATCTGTTGTAAATCCTGCAGCGATTCAGCCATGATGACAATGTCGTCAGCAAATCGTAAGTGAGAGATGTTCTCGCCGTTGACATTAATGCCGTAATTTTTCTTTTTCTTCTTTTTAAATACTGTGATAATATCACATTTCTTTCTTGACGAAGAAAAATGCGCACTAGCGTTGGTAATGTACGAGAACAAATATCCGCCGAAATAAGCTATTTATTAAAGGATATTTTATTTTCCTGATAGAGAATCGTTGAAGAACTGATTACTTACGAAGAAAAAGAAAAATATATTTTTTTATATTCAGTAGCCGCAAGTTTACTACTCAATAGAGGAAACTAACCAATGGCATCATAGCCATCGCAATAGTCTACGCAGATAGGAAACATAGTTTTTCCATCAAACGGTGCTATTATAATTGGATCGGAAAACAAGCAGATGGCCTATATGATGGTAAACGGTAACAGTCGCCTATATACACAAACATGTGACACCCGTGATACCACTCCAACGTTGTATTCCAGAAGCCCAAAATTTCATGCCTCTTGTTCTGTAATTTCACTGCTTAATGGATAATACAACCGAAATATGCCTTACAAAGCAAGCTACTTAGCGTCTTAAATATGTATGTGACCTTTTTAATACAGGCTCTCCCATAAGTTACTTTAAACTGAAAAAAGACATGTACAGTTTGAAAAAATATTGCGTGGTAATAATAAATATAATAATCGACAAAAACCATGATTTTTTTAAAAATCACTTCATCTAAATGTGCTTCTTTTTGTATAAAACAACATTGCATTTTTTCATCATTTCATATTACCATAGAAGTTTTATGATATGTACCTTACTTATACTTCTTACCTCGCTGTGTGTCGTGTAAGATTGCTCACAGATATATTTACACTGTGGTTATCCCACGTTATTGCTATTAATCCATATCACCCCATTCAAAGAGAGCAGTTTTCGATTTTCACGCTGGTTGTACCATGTCCTAAATAAGAATATTTTCATGGGACGGATATAGTAAATCCAGATGCCATATTATTCTTATCATTATATTACAAAATACACGAAATCAACACGACAGCTACGCATTTAAGCGAAATGACAGTATCGGTAATTGGTAACAATATTTTATTATGTTTTCTTATAAATTGGCCAATTAGTTAACCATAATTATTTCTTGGAGTTCATCTCACATATCCTCTTTACTGCCCTCTGTTTAATGTTTAATTTTTAGTTTTCTCAAATTCTTTCAATAAAACTGAAAATAAAATTGTAACAAATATATATTTCATATCTACTATAATGTAAGCGATGTTTGTAAACAAATAATCTGACAATACATTTTCTATACTGAGGATGATAATAACAGCGTATAGAAAGAAATAGAGAGAAGATAAACTATGATTTATTTAATGATATACTTCATCCTAGTCGGTACTTTCTTTTGTTTATAAAAATACAATGAATATTTGAGTAATATTATGTAATAACGTATCGAATTATTTCATAACTGTATCTATAATTGCTGGCTGTAGTTTGTAGGCATCATCAAAAGAGTCTCACATTCTTCTCATGCATCGTCAGGCCACGTACTTGTATAATAATATAATGATCCACTTTCGCTAAAATAATTCATGTTATTTAAATATGTTAGTTATGTTATTTTATGTAACATTGGTATAGTAAGACATGTAATTGATGAATGTCGAGTTTATGACTAGTAGATATTGTATGTTTATCTATCTATCACCCCGCTTTTACAGGAAAGGCAGAGAATAAAAAGTAAGAGTCTAAACGGGTTAATTGTTGATTTAATACTACTTCCTCTGATAAAAATCTTATTAAAAACAGACGGTCCTGGAAATGAAAATTGTGCAATATGTACTTTACACTTAAAAACTTACAATAACTATCATCTTCCTCGTAATAATATGATGATTAATGTTTCCTGGTCATAAAACATTAATATTAAATTAAAATGCGTATTAAAGTCAGTAAGTTGTGGTTAATTTTCTTCCTTTTAAAGAATCAACATTCATGATAGCATTATCCATTATACGTTATTATACGTTATTATACGTTAAGTGGCATCATTAAAAGAATGATCAATTATTAAATATTTTATTTTTAAAACACACTTGGAGAAAACTGGTAACCGACGTCAGTAGATATAAAACGGAAGATGAATACTGCATCTATATGAAACTCAGTACAACTTGGTCGGTGCTGCACCACGTTGAAACAACAATACAACCATGTGTCTATACACAAATGAGTTTATCTATGAATGATTACACTCGAGATATTCCCTACTATAGTCAAAATATATTCTGTAAAAAAACGCACTAAATTGGGGGCAACCATAGTGCAATAGAACAAATATAGGCCTGGGCATAACAAAAATCTGCAGATTTTGCCAAACTGAAGGGAAACGCAACTATACATCCTATGTTGTTGTAGTCCAGTCATGCATAAACGTAATATCTCCTTTGGAAAGTTTACTCTCTATACTGAGGACTTAAAAACCACCGCTTCTAAGAATATCTTACAAATCTTGTCCCTGAACTCTGAAAGAGAGCGAGCATATTTTTTTTTTTTTTTTTGTATGTGATAATGGAATGGTGCATCCGCCTGCGCTAACGGTTTACGCTGGCGGGGCACCAGTGGAGGGTGATAATATGAGCATGAGGTCAGGTCAGTTAGCCCATCGTGACAAATTCACCAGGAATTTAACACGATGGTTTCCAGGGGGAACCGCGTGGAGGTCAACCTGATATGGTACATTGCTAGTAATGGGTTTATTAGTCCACATTACTAACAATCCCATTTCCCCCCGAGCGAGCATATTAGATCTATATAGGTCGCAGTGCTACAGATCCAATCACCTGACAATAGCCCAAACCCCCTAATAAAAAAAAAGGATGATGGGGTAAAATCGGATCGGCTTGCATACTAGTAAAATCTGCACTAATTTCGCTACTCACGTATCTGTACTCATGGTCTAGGAGTGATCCATGGCAGAGCCCTATGGATTTTTACGGATTTTATATTGCGCCTTAATTTAATGACCTGAGAATTAATATTCCAAAGAACTAAGATGTTATAGCTCTTATACTGTAATTTCACTTGCCTTATCTGTACCCTTGAACTGAAACATAGCCTATAAAACAAGCTGCTGTGCGGAAATGCTATGAAATAGATAAAACAGAGCTTCCCGCGTAGACGACTTTTACACTGTATTGACTTTTAGATAAGTAAATCAGTTATTTTAACATTAATTACAATTATTTACAGAATGTACAAGTTGCAACGATGACGAGCTGGGCGTGACGCGATGGACAATGCCGCTACTCAAGACGGGGGAGAAGCGATACTATCTAGGAATTTTTTTTAAGGTCAGTCACCTTTCTCTCAGCAAACTCAAACCTGAACTAAATATACATCTTTCATAAAATTATAAAAATAAAATCAATCGAACAATATACAAAAATACAATTTTAATTATTGTATAATAGATTGATTTTTCTGTGAATGTTTTTATCGTGTAAATATGTTAATTTTAAATCTATTGAAGTGTCATGTATCCTTATATATTAAAGTATATTTCGAATAAAATACATTCGCATTTAGACTCCATTATTCAGTAAACAGGAGCATCGATGAAAAACGGATGCTGTCAATAGATTTATGAAAATAAGTTACTTTCCGTACTTAAATAATCAAATTAGGTAAGGTATCGCGCAACATGCGTACAGATGTCTCAATCAAATACAATGAGAAGGAAATTGAAGTGAAGTAAAAGTAATTTCGCAAACAGCGAACATAAATCTTAGTTGTTGTTATTTTTACTGCGAATGTTTACAGAGTGCGTAATTGGCTTCCCCAACAATATCATTACTTTAACAATGCCGTGAATCATTTATAAGGAAAATAAGCAATTACATAACGCAGGCACAAGGTGCGCGTACGCATCTCCGAATGTCGTAACAGCTTGGCGTGTGTTTGATCGACAGCTTTCCCTTTCTCTCAGAAGTAACACTCGTGTCAACTACGCCCTGTTAATTTTATATTGCGGCAACTTGTTATAGTTTTAGAATGAATGAGATGATTTTTTATACTCGTAATGCTCTTGTTTATTTTAACGGTCAATTATTTGATGAAATAAGTAATAACTGTCTTACTAACGAAAGCATCGTGGCTAGGGTATGTTAGATATCCCCTATGAAAATATTTTTTTGTTATAGTAAATAGACATAGATATAAAAATATACCGTAATGACTGGTACTCTAGGTAGGATATAATCTATTAGAAATAACAGCTTTATCAACTATTCTGTTGTGGTGAACAAACTTGACTTGCCCACATTTCGCTCTGTATTTTGAATCAAACGTGACAGAGGGCAAACCAAACGCCTAATGCGCAAAAACATGTTTCGCGCATTAGGCGTTTGGTTTTACTTAAATATATCTATAGAACTTAAATTTTGAAGTCATTTTCCGCAAAATGGTTATACTTTGCCTTACAAACAGAGCGCAAATAATGTAAAATGCAGTAATGTTCGGAAGTATGACGAACAAAACAGCGCGGAGTGGTTATAGCGAGAAATAAAAAAATATCTGAATATAATGAATCAGATTAATATATTTTAGGACACATTTCAACTATGAAACCAGTATGTTGATGAACTTTACAATGATTTGCAAATATGCATATATAATATTTTTTTTATTCAAATTCTTGAAATAATTTTGGTATTACATAAATAACTAACATTTAATACATTTTTTTTATATTATTTTGTAGCAACTAAAATTCCCAACAAGTGGTGGTAACCGTCGCGTCGTCGTCTAGATACCTTAATAACACCTAAGATGGTTCGCCATGGGCATCCCATGACGACCATTTAGGATACATAAGTTAACGATAAATGGAATAGTTATACTCGTTACTATATATACATGTTACTAATTACTTTTGATACAATGCAAACCACAACTTTTATAATTTCTCATATATTTTAAATCGTAGTTATTTTCTTTTAAAATCCACACTCGGTATAATTTTTTTTAAGAACTAATTATATGGCCTTGTTTTTTTTTTTGTATGTATTTTAAATTATTTATTTTTGTAGGAAATTAATTTCCAGTAAGCAAGTAAAAATTTATAGTGTTAAAAAAATGCTTTGTATAACTTAATTACATTTTAACTTCAGCAACGGCAACATCAACAACAAACTACTAACAATAAGAATTACAAAGTACAGATAGGGTACTTCGGTATAGTCTATACTTTGTAATCGGTTACCTACCATTTGTAGCAGCTCTACTATGCGTTGCCAATGCCTCCATATCAGACAACAATATAAAATATGTTTTCGGGAAAGATTTTTTTTTCAGAAAACACATTTTTTATTTAAATATCTAAGTATATTCTTGATATATAGGACCATTAAATGTAGATGTTATTTCATAGGTCGTTTGGATAATATGAAACTCAATCCTTCAATGTAATAAATTAAAAGGTTTGGTAGCGGGCCAACTACAGTTATGGTATATGGTATAAAAAATAATTTATAGAGTAACAATCATTATTTACTGCCATAGTAAGCCAAATTAATTGAGCACTTTCCGTCTTAATACACGTTACTATGTCTATTTGCATATGCCTGAGTTTTTTCTATATCATACATGTACATATATATATAAATACAAATTACTTCTGCCTACCGCACAATGTCTACCTTCTTATTATGACACTAGATATAGATATAAACAGATTCAGCTATATATTATATATCTATGTATGGATGAATATTATAAAGTCCTCCGCCGCGTCACTTTGTATGTTCTCATTAATCTCAAAAACTATAGAACGGATTTTTATGAGGTTTCATCCATTAATAGAGTTATTTAAGAGGATAGTTTATCTCTATAATTCTTTGAGGTTTTATGTTAATTAATTAAAATAAATTCGTACGGGATGAAGCAGGATCCGGCCGCTAATCTTACTAATATTTTAAACGTGAAAGTTTGTGAGCATGGTTTGATTTTAGTTACTCTTTCACGCAAAATCTCCTGAACGGAATTTGATGAATCTTTACAATAATATTGCTAATATATCAGAATAACACATAGGCTCTAATTCAAAAAGATATGTAAGTTTGGCGAAATATAATGATAAATGTTATGTAAGTGTAATGCAGACGAAGTTGCGCGGGTAAGTTAGTACATAAATGCAATTGTCATTCACCAGTAGATAATATGTCTGCAGTCAAAATAATGATATAATAATTTGTACCAATAACAACTGTATACATCACGTCTCACGAAGCATAGTCGGACTTTCACTGCAACCGGTTGGAAATACTCTGATTCATGCACCAAGATATATATTTTAAGTAATAATTCAATATGATGAAAATTCTTTTAAAATCTTTATATTTAGGTAATATGTCCTTGAACGGTGAATAACTGCGAAATATGGTTGAAAGGAAATAGAAGGCATAGCCTTTTCTCAACATACACACTGTTTTGTTTGTTCGTAACACTTTATTCTACAATAAATATAATTAAAATAACATGATACAACGATCTTATTATAACTTGTACAATGGCGGACTTATTCCAAATGAGAGATTTCTTTCATGTCTATGTTTCTATGTAATAAAGACACAACTCTTCTACATTGCATATAAAAAAAAATTTGTTATTATTTTTTGTTTTTGATCAAGTATCATGAAACGTAGCTTTTGTCTGCTTGTTCTTAAACTACATTTCTATGTCTGTCTACTACAGACAGACAGACTACAGACCTTTATCCACTTATAAAATCGTATTTTTTTCTGAGTGAATGTAACATTAATTACAATTTATTTTATAACGTTAAAATTTGAAAATTGTAACCTGTAATCTGATATTGTAATTGAATAATTGAAATCTGATTTGTCATGAGAACGGAATATAAATAGTATAGCGCAAGTAAACCCACATAATAGAACTAATTTGAAATAGGAAAATAAAACACCGACAGTTCCAATAGATTTATCGGTTTTGTATTATTTATGGTCATAATAAATTTACATAGTATACATTCTATTTCTACAAATATTAAAGTTATATATATATATATAATATATTATAAGTATACCTATTTATTGAAACATAGATGTTAATAGGAAAAGTAAAATATTTTTTTTCACAATTATATCTGTTATTGACACGTAACATTTAAACTGAATAGATGATAACTGATAGTATCTACTGATTGATTTGATTCATTCGTAGATATTTATTACTTAGTAATTAATCACTCTACCAGAGGTAAATAAATTGTATTTTTTTTAGGTAGATATTCATATTATGATATTACTCATAACGCAAATATGATTTTATGTAATAAATGCCTGTACAATCAACCTACATTGCATAGACGTATTTGTTTTAATTATATAAGTAGTATTAAAAACAATCATACACATGTTTGTATCGTGTGAATAATCGAACTTGCAATCTCGGAAGTCAAAACGGTGTGCTGAACGCGCAACGCCTGAGGTTATCATTTAGCCATAATTTTACTTAACATATTGTTTTTAATTTCTTAAAACTTTCGACTATATTGCTTATTCATTTTTATAATCGACATTCCGCCTTTGCCATTACGAAGCAATCGTACCGTCAATTGAATACACGTATTAAAAGTATAATTATGAAAGCTGCACTTTCCCTTTACACATTGTTACATGTGTAAGTAATTAACGTGAAACTAATAAGGTTGTAATAACGACAAATTAAGATAGCCAGCAAGTAACTGCCACATACGTACGTATTTTTTATTTAATATCATAATTTACAAGTATATTGTGAAGCCCGTGGTACGCACTGGTCTTTTGGAAGGAAAGTGGATGACGAATATAAGGATACATACCTACAGGTAATCTCTATATAAAAAAATAGGTGACAATATATTAATCTCCAAAAATTGTAAATCGATATTACTACGCCTATTTCTAAGATAAACTAACCCTATATATTTATCCCTAAGATAAATAATACTTCTATATATTTTTCCGTTCTACATCTACGACTGGATCTTAGTCTAGGAATTCATCTTTGTAGAAGTCAAAGCACAGTGTTGAAGACAAGACGACCCTCGTGGTGTAGCGGTTTAGCATACCACCTTTGATTCGATTCCAAGCACGATGCAAACTAGCTTGAGACAAAATGATGTAGTCTGAATTGTCTAGTTTTTATCAGCCTTTTTGAACGATCTATTAGAAATGGTCGACTTTCCAATGGCGATCATCGATAGTGAAATTGCTATTATAAAAAAGGTTACTTAGATTTCCTGCGAACATACATTAGTTTGTCAAAATTTTATAGTAAAACTAGCTGTCCCGGAAAACGTTGTTTTGCCTTAAAATAAAAAAAAAATTTAGGGGTGGACTACCTCTAACATTTAGGGGGATGAAAAATAGATGTTGGCCGATTCTCAGACCTACTCAATACGCTCACAAAATTTCATGAGAATCGGTCAAGCCGTTTCGTAGGAGTATGGGAACGAAAACTGTGACACGAGAATTTTATATATAAGATATGTTTATTAGTAGTAATCATATAATTATGTGTATATGTATGAATTATTTGACCTTTGGTTACTTCGATGTATGACCACAAAATACTAATAGTATATACCGTATGACCATGTGAATAAAAGACTAAACCATTACAACCTTCACCTTTATAGAGATAATGTAGGTACATATCTAATTATAACTTAATAACAGTTACATATATTCCCATTTGCTGTTAATTTTTTCCCATGAATCAGTAGTCAAATGCTATTTTTTTTATCTTTAGTATGTGTAGGTGTTTTGTATAGTGTTTCTAAGCGTAACCCAAATAAATACCATTTTATTTCGTATTTATAACTATTGAAGTTCTTTTGAACCTAATAAATACTTTTCTATTCTACTAGTGTTCATCATAATTTCGACCTTAGATATACATATCATTACAATTATATGTGAGTATATAGGTGTCGTAACTGTACTTTGCATGTCTAGTTTTATCTCAGAATTAGGCTCTGTTAGATTTTAATTGACTCCCACAGAATTTCGTAATTTTGTTGTAGTCAATTACAATCTAACTACTGCATAATTACTAGTTAATTTTATTTTATTTCTTTATTATAGGATATTTATGAAATCTATTTCTTAGAAAAACAGTATTCGTATGTACTCCGTTATTAAACGTGGATTATTTATAGCATTGCACATGCGAAGTAATATATTGTAAAATCCCCTAATCTGTTACTAAAGTTACTTAGTCCGTACATACATTTATCCAATAGGACATCCATTCTTTCCATAGATAGAAAGTTTACATTTTAATAGTACACTCAATTTTGTTCCCTTATGAAAATTATTCCTGAGAAAATATGTATCTTGTAGGTACTTAGTATATTGGTTGGATATATTGTGTTTTACTTTTTTCTAACTAAATCTTATTTATTTCAGGCTAACTGGTTCAAGGCACAACAGTACTGCAGATTCCATGGTATGCACCTTGCATCAATATCTTCACAGCAGGAGAACGACAAGCTAGAGCAATATGTTAAGGACTCTGGTAAATATTTTCATCTACATAATTAAATTTTATTTATATATCTTTGATGTGAATATAAGATAAAAGATATCATCTGTCCTCATGTTACGTTAGGACAGAGGATATCTTTTATCTCAGAAAAAGCAGACAAATTCGTCGGTAAAAGCTAGTTTTTTACTATCTACTTACAGAAAAAGAAAGGAAGGATTATAAAGATTTAATAATTTAATAGTAATATTTAAATGGACCACCAAATTTAGATTATTGTGATAAATTATTTTTATACATAAAGGTAGATCTTCATGTACCTATGTATTTTTATTATTTGAATAAGATAATTATCATTATGTTTATATATGGTCATACACTCGTAAGATATTAAATTTATATTTATATATTTAAATTGTCGTAATACATCCACAGCATATAGTTTTTAAATTATTTACTTTGTCTACACTTTTCTAACATATATAGTATATTTATAGAGTAAAATATGTAATAGTATCTTGTCCATTATAGCCACGCCGAATCTTTCTCTATTTGATTATCTTACTTTAATAACCTAAGACTGGAAGACTGGTGATACAGGTACTTTTAACAGGCTCTACTTATTTTATTTTAGTCCTTTTTTAAACATTCTCTCTCTCTGTCATTAATTTGTAGAGAAAAGTTAATATAAAAAAAGTTTTTATTGTTGTCAATGGAAAGCTTTTTTTATTAAAATGATATGGTGCACCCGCTAACGGTTTATGCTAGCAGGACGGGCGGAGTCCCATCGCAACGAGTTCCTAAATTATTAATCACAATGATTTCCAGAGAAAACCGCTTGGAGATCGACCTGCAGACTTTGGTAAATTGCTACCAATTTTGCTAAAAAATTGCTAGCACTAGTTCCCTTTACTAACACTAGCCTCGCCTGCTATGAAAAGTTTTTTAACTTTACGATTTTTGGATTATTACAGGTTACGGGCGCGAGCATTTCTGGACATCAGGGACGGACTTGGCCGAAGAAGGAAACTTCTTTTGGATGGCTAACGGCAGACCGCTCACGTTCGTGAACTGGAACGCAGGCGAGCCTAATAACTTCAGGTACGAAAACGGCGAGGAAGAGAACTGCTTAGAACTGTGGAACAGAGACGACAAAGGCTTGAAATGGAACGACTCGCCGTGCTCATTCGAAACTTTCTTCATCTGTGAAGTACGATCAGATTAATGTTTGACATAAATTGTCGTTTAGGCTGTATACATCACGATTTGGTATGGGATAAAGAGGCCATGCATAAATTACTTTGCACCAATTCCAGTAATTTTCACACATCTATGTCACAGGGATGTCACATTTTAAGTGTCAAATTTAATACTAAAACTGAAATATGTAGTTACAAAATATAAGATCTCTCCTAGAATAGTAGGAGTGGTACTAAATTTCATGATATTCACATAAACTTTGTGACTCTTCTCTATTCTCTTTTGTTGTTATACATTGTCACTCCTTATCGACCTAATTAAGATGATATAATATATGGATATCCTCCTAAGTAGATACTTACGTCAGTAAGCGTATACATGCATGGGTATATAAAAAGAGATCGTCCTATCGCATATTTTTCATTATTTGAACTTTGTCGTCAGCCAAATCGTGTAGCATAAATTTAAATCTTCATAGAGCTGTTTAGACAGCTAGGGGCGCCATTTTTTAATTTTGTATTTGAGAATCTCAATGTTTGTCACTGAGTAATGGTTGAATGAACTGTACAGTTTACTTTAAAGAATATTTTTGTGAAACTATTTTTATGATGTAAACTTATTTACATTCCTTTAACGATACTATGGGGATAACAATTTTTTTTAAATTGTATTATTATAATATTAGACAAAACATGTAAATGGTAGGTATCTATTGTTTAAGAATGGTAAAACCAATGAATATCTGTAGTGAGATATAGTTACTTTGAATCTAACAACAATGCCTTCTCTCAAAAAGCGACTGACATTACACGTATCTACGCGAAGATAAAAAATATAAAAATATATAGTAACATTTATTCTGATAACGGTTAAATTCAAAGTAACTAAATTATTATTTAGATGAACGAATATTGTATGAAATGCACGAATGATTATTTGAGAATAAATTAAAAAATAAACATATTACAATGGATACTTGGTCAGTACAATTATGAATTTATAGGCTAAGTAGGTGGTTATTTATTTTATTTTTATACCGTCCGAAATATTATAAATTGCTATATATGACAAAAATAAAAAATATGGTTTTAATGTTAATTACCGTTTTCTGTGCGAACGAACTCCGAGCCTTGTGGTTCAAGGGACACGATTCCTTGTGTCTATAGTCAAAAGTAGAAGTAAATATGTAGTTACCTTAATATAAGTATTAATGTATAAATAAATAAGAACGATTAATAAATAAGAAAATACATTTTGTTTTTTATTGTTATTTTAAAGGAATTTCTTTAACGTTACTTTTAATCCACTGGGACAAACACAGTAATATCTTGAAAAAAGCCTAATAAAACGAAGAGAGCATCATGACATCAAACTTACAGAGTATAGGGTGACATCAGATGCAGAATAATAATACTTTTTAATGAACGAACGAATGAGTTATCGCTAATATTGTATGAAAAAAAAATAGTATATATATATAATGAAGCATACTCTAGAAGTGTTAAAAGATTCTTTGATGATAAACACTTATCTAGCAGACGGCAAATTACTTAAATGGATTATTTTTTTATAGTCTTACTAAAGGTTATATAGTTACCATTCGGAGAAGGGACGTAGGAATTCGCCAGGACTTGATCACAATTATCAGGATCACTATGCGGAAACCGTCCTGAAATTACACATTGGTAATAGGGCCACTCTCCATTACTTATTTCATATATGCAATTAGTAATACGTATACTAGATTAGTACCGTAGTTTTAAAAAACAAACTAACTCCAACATGCTAAGCAATATTAAAATATAATTAACAAAACAGGTGTGAACTATATACTGTGTCACAATTGCTATTGTTTTCGTGTCCGTCATATTTTCTAAGAAACAAAAAAGAGGACAATCCCACTTACCTATACTTTCTTTCTAATTATAAACGTTTTAACCTCCCTAAATTGTAAACAGCAGTTCATTGACCTTATAAGAAAAATCTTTTTGCGAGTTGAGAAACAGATTTTGATAATAATATCGCTGGCCTAATTGTATTGAGTTTCTGGGAATACCTATTTGTTTGCTTTATATTTATAATTGGCATTCTATTTTAGGTGTCATTTCAATATGAAATTTTACATTATATTAATTTAATTAAATCTCTCACACATAATTTCATCACCAAGATACACAAGCCAGGAAACCATACCATTTTACCAATACATAATAGGTCCTAAAAATTATTATAAATGAAATACCAAATGCTTCTGTTAAAAAAATACATAGGGAAATAATCATTTTGTATTTGAAATACAATTATTCTAAAATTGTGTCACCTAAATATATTAAAAACTAATATGTATGATTGCATATAATGGTTTATGCTTGTATTAATGAATATTTGTACGCGGGAACAATCAGAATATAATGTATGGAATTTTTAATATTATAACTATCAACTTACAAGTTGATAGTAATAATATTAAAAATAGGTAAGGTAAGGTAAGGTAAGGTAAGGTAAATATTAATATGTTTTAACAAATAAATAAATTATTATTATTATTACACAGGCTCTGTTCCGTACACCTTGGACCGATTAAAAAGCTGGGGCATGTTGCTAGTGTACTGTAACATTCGATTTAAATGGACCATGAAAAAAAATAAGGTTGTGTGAAATAGATAATTACAATTTTATCATTCCTTATTTCAGAATAGATCTCTTTTTATAACTTAAGGAAGAAGTTGCTTTGTAAAACTAGGTTTTATAAAAAACAGGAGCAGACTACATAAGTTGGTATTCAAATGCGGAGGCTGTTTACACAGGCATGTGGAAAGAACACGTGCATACACATATTATTAACCAAGTCACGCGTCCCTAAAGTCAACTGCAATCCCATCTACGTCGCAACACTAAAAAAAGTTAATACATACCTACATACATTCAATACAACGACGTAACTATATACATCGTTTGCCAATAATACTTATTTGAAATCTAATAATTCTTATTTCAAAAAGATTAAAACTATTTTTTTTAAATAGAAGACACACAAACAAAACATATTAATGACACACGGATCATAAGTCTGTAGAAATAAAAACCATAGTTTCGACTAAGTATTGAAAATTAAAGAACAATGACAGTAGGAACAACTTAGCTTAAAACTCTTAAACGGTTCATACAAAATTGGCAAGTTAAAGATTTTCAACTATAACAATTGAATTGATACCAACTTGCTATGTTACACAATCAACCGATCTACCTATCTCCATTTTTTGTACACTACTATGAAATCCAAACAAGCTAACATACATAAATAACTTATGGAACCACAGGGTTTATACGAAATAAGTAATAATAATAATAATAACAAACAAAGAACAATAAAAAAAAATGATAAAAAGTTATACAAAAGGAGTACGTACAAAAGTACGTTTGTGTCTAATTAAAAAAAACTATTTTTACAAGTCAGATTAATCAATTTAACTGTACAATACAATACGAAGGTAGACTTTGTACAAAGCCGTCTACGTGTCCATCCTCTATCTCACCTATTTCAAAATACAGAACACACACCACAAGTCATCAAACAACTTGTTGTGAAAGTTGTAATTCATTTGAAACGTGAGATGCGACAGTGACGACAGTTAAATTATAGTGTATAAGTGACAACTTAAGAAAATACCTGGGCGTCACACGATGACCCATATCGGTAGTTGCTGTTACTTAATATACCTTATATTACTATAGAGGCGACGTTTGCCACTTACCATCTGGTGGACCCTTAGGTATTTCCTTATAAGTTTTATAAAAAAAAACCCTTTTCAAATTTCTTAGAATAAGAAGATCCTTTCAATTCTCAGAATAAACATCAGCATATTGAAGTTGCAAGAATCTACTTCATTTCCTGTGCGCTGATCTTCACTTAAGCCTCTTTTATTACTTATGCTATTCTATTCATAAAATATAAGTAGGTATAGCAGGCAATGCAAACCTTATGTCGATACTGCTAAGATCAAGTTTAAATAATTATAAATTCAAGAAATATTATACTTAAGTAGCCAAAGGTAGTAATATAGTTGAAACAATCTCTCGAAGGAGTTTTCAAGTGCCTTCTTACGTAGAAAATTAAACAGGATAATATTACGTGATAGTAGATTTAGAATACATTTATTATATTAGTAATAGTACATATAGTATTCTATTATCAATCGTTTCCTAGAAAAAAGTGCTTATTAAAAATATAATACACCTATATGTCTAACACTAACAAGGATAAGTCCGACGGCCTCGCTGGTCTAGCGGCTTAGCACACCGCCATATTTCCGATGGTCGCTGGTTCGATTCCTCGCACTAGTACTATACTACTATACAATTCTAGTACCCATAACACAAGCTTTAGCTAACTTAACTTGGGACTAAATGGTGCTGTGTGAATTCAATGAAATTTTATTAGGTACCCATTATTACACAGTGTTATTATATTTAGGAATAGACCATTTTAAATATAGGATCAATTTAAGTGAAGCAGGAATAAGCATACCTACTAATAATTTTCTGGCAATTTGCCCTCCTCCGGCTCGTTAAAAATCTCATCACAGCCAGGACTCGTAATTTCTTAACCATTTCGGCATCATTAATTTACAGAACTTTTTTAAATCCTTGTTAAATACAACAATATTATAATAATAAAATTTCACCATTTAACTTATAATGTAAGGTTTTACAATTTCATTAATTTATCTCACTCAATACCTAATATTTAATACCCAATATTTATTAATCCCAAGAAAACAACTCCAACATATATGTCAGGTATAAATACTCCTTTATTAAATTATATCATTTTTTAGGTTATATTTTCTTTTGCCCTTTGTAGATTATTAGTCTAAATCTTATAAAGGCTATTAAAAACGGATTTCCAAGGAGCCATTAGCCGGTTTAGTTTTGGTTTAGTTGATACAAAAAAGCTATATCTTTTATTTTTTGTGAACACAGTTGATTGGCATAATGCTGAATCAAAAACGCTCTGTTGATAACGAGATAAGTTATCTTAGATGTAAAATCTTGTTACAATATTGTAAATAAATGTCATTGTCAATAAAATTTAAGCAGTATCGTTATTATTTATTAGGAATATTCTAGAAGTAGAGCGATTTAGGTG